TAGTTGGTGGTCTGTACTACAATCAGCCGGTTTTCACCCGGCCTGGTTTTCACTGCTGATATTGAGCTTCTCCACCGATTCTTTCCACAAGTGCAATCTATTTAATTCCTATGAATACCATCAGGTGAGATCCATGTGTATAGCCTGTGTTTATGTTTTTATAAAAGGTATTTGCAATGAATTAATCATTGAATGTGCAGAACTCTATCATTCTATCTCCAGCCTCATTTCTCTCACCGAGGCCATGTTTTCCAGCCACTGATCCTTCTTCCCTGTTCCCAACTTCTGCGTTCCAGTTACCCATTATTATCAATGCATCTTGATTGCATGTTTGATCAATTTCTGACTGCAAAAGTTGGAAGAAATCTTCCATTTCTTCCCCTTTGGCTCTAGGTGTGTGCAAGAAGAAACAGAAAAATGAAATAAAAAAAATTTTAAAACAAATGACAATGAAAACACCACTTACCAAAACCTCTGGGAAATAGCCAAAGCAGTAATCAGAGGTCAATTTATAGCAATAAGCAAAACCATCAAAAGGCGGGAAAAAATGATCATTGACTCTCTAACCCAACATCTCTAAAAACTTTAAAAAAGAACAGCAAAAAAACCTGATAACATCTAAAAAAGCTGAAATTATAAAAATCAGGGCAGAAACAAATGAAATAGAAAAGTGAAAAACAATTTAAACTATCAACAAAACTAGGAGTTGGTTCTTTGACAAGGTCAATAAAATCGAGCAACCACCAGGAAAACTAACAAAGGGAAAGAAGGAAAAGACACAAATAATCCAAATAAAAGATGAAACGGGCAACATCACAACAGAGCGAAGTAAAATAAAAAGACTAAAAGTGGAATATTATGAAAAACTATACTCAAACAAATATGGAAGCCTAGAGACAATGAACAAACACTTAGAAACTCACAACCTTCCTAAACTGACAAAAACTGAAATTGAACACCTGAACAGACCCATTACAAAAGAAGAAATTGAAAAGATACTAAAACAACTCCCAGGGGGGAAAAAAAAAACAAAACCACAAACACCAAAAAACCGAACAAACAAAAAAAAACCCCAACAAACCCACCTGGACCAGTTGGCTTTACAAGTGAGTTTTATCAAACATTCAGAGAAGAACTGTCACCAATTCTACATAAACTATCTCAGAAAATAGTAAAAGATGGCATTCTCCCATGAAGCAAACATATCCTTGATACCAAAGCAAGGAAAGGACATCATCAATATAGAAAACGATAGGCCATTATCTCTCATGAACATAGACGCAAACATCCTGAATAAAATCCTGGCCAATAGAATCCAACAATACATCAAATAAATAATTCACCATGACCAAATGGGATTCATAACAGGTATGCAAGGATGCTTCAACATAATAAAAACAATGAATGTAATTCATCACATTAAAGAGAAGAACAAGAACCACGTGGTTCTATGAATTGATGCAGAAAAGGCCTTTGAAAAATCTAGCATCATTTCCTGATTAAAACAATCAACAAAATAGTACTAGAGGGGAATTTCTTCAACATAGTAAAAAGTATATACGCAAACCCGAGAGCCGACATTGTTCTCAATGGCGCGAGATTAAAGGCATTCCTCTTGAGAACAGGGACTAGGCAAGTATGCCCACTATCACTTCTCCTATTCAATATGGTATTGGAAGTCATTAAAATTAATATTAAAAAAAAGGAGAAGAAAAAATTTATTTTCTATTGGTTCATTTACAAAGTTCAAATACATCATTTTCCACACCAGATCTTTCCAATTTCCTTCACCCCACCTCCAGCCATCAAATTGTGATACTCTACAATTAATGCCCCCTCCCCACTTCCCATCCTCACCCCTCTGTTCCCCACCCTCTCAAATCCTCATACTCATTCTACAATAATTGTCTTATATAGTATTTATCCTTATGGGACTAAGTTAGTTCACTTAGCATAATGCTCTCCAGTCCCTCCCAAGTTTCATAGTAATTTACAAAATCATTGCTCCAGCATACTGTGTAGTATTTCATCATGTGAATGTACCATAACTTCTCAGTCATCTTCATTGTCATTGGACATATGGGCTATTTTCATGTTCTTGGGATGGTGAATAACACTGCTATGAACATTGGTGTACAAGTCTGTCATTTGTGCCCCAGTTCCCATTCTGTTGGGGTTTATTCCAAGCAGTGGAATCATTGGGTTATATGGAATTTATATTTTCAGCTTTTTGAGGAAGTGACAAACTGCCTTCCAGAGTGCTTGTACCATTTTACAATTCCATCGATAATGCACACCAATGTATACAAATTTTTATCTTGTCACATCTTCTCCAAGATTTATTACTTGCTGTCCTGTTAAACTTTGCCACTGTTAATGGAGTGAGATTGTATTTCACTCTGGTCTTAATTTGCATCTGTCTTATTGCCAGTGATTTTGAGTATTTCTTCATGTGTCTGTTGCCCATTCTAATCACTTACTTTGTGAACAGTCTTTCCATATCTTTTGCTCATTTTGTAATTGTGTTCTCAGTATTTTTCTTCTGGAGGCCCTGTAGGATTCTTTACTTTTGATATAAGATCCATGTCTGAAATGGTATTGCCAAACATTTTCCCAGTCTTCTTTTCACTCTATTGGAAAATGTTTTTGACATGCACAGGGATTTAATCGTTAGAAGGTCCCATTCATCAAGTTTATCCTCTCCAGATTGTACATTTCTGGCTGTATTTGGTGGTGGTGGTTGTTGTTCTTATGTGCCATCGAGTCTAGACGCCATTCTATCCTGTGCCAACCTCGCCGTCTCAAACACACTCATTCCCACCACTCCACTCACAGAATTGATCCATCTCATCGAAGGTCTTCCTCTCCTGCGTCGTCCCTCCACTCTGCCAAACATGATGTCCCTCTCTGAGGACCAGTCCCTCCTTGCAACATGCCCAAAGTATGTCAGATGAAGATTCAGAATCCTTGACTCCAAGGAGCATTCTGGCTTCACCCTCTCCAAGACAAACCTGTTTGTTCTCCTAGCAGTCCATGGTATATTCAACACTCTTCTCCAGTACCACAGTTCAAAGGCATCAATTCTCTTTCTACCATCCCTATTCACTGTCCAACTATCCAATGCATACCACGTAATTGCGAAGACTATAGTCTGGATCAGGTGCACCTTAGTCTCCAGCCTGACATCATTGTTCTCCAGTACTCTAGAGATGTCTCTCACAGCTGACTTTCCCAATGCAGTTTGTCTCCTGATTTCCTGCCTGCTGTTACCAAGAGTGCTGATTGTGGAACCAAGTAAACTAAAACTGTTAACTATCTCAATCTCTTCTTCATTCATACTGATGCTGCCAATAGGCCCAGTGGTGAGAATCTTTGTTTTCTTAATGTTCAGCTTCAATCCATATAGGAGGTTGCAGTCCTTGACCTTCTGCAGCAAGCGCTTCAGGCCCTCCTCAGTTTCAGCAAGCAATGTTGTGTCATCCATGTAACACAGGTTGTTAATGATTCTTCCACCAATCCTGATGCCACATTCCTCCTCGTACAGCCCGGTGTCTTGGATGATCTGTTCTGCATACAGATTGAAAAGGTATGGAGAAAGAATACATCCTTGATGAACCCCCTTCTTGATTTTGATATAGTGTCTCCTTGCTCTGTTCTGATGACTGCCTCTTGGTCCAAGTATAGGTTTTGCAGTGTTGTTGTTGTTAAGTGTCATCGAGTCACAGGCAACTCATAGCGACCCTACGAAGGAGAGTCCTCAACGCTTGGATGTCTCTCATCCTCTCTCCAGGTACATAGGGTTTCCAGAGGCAAGATATTATGGAAGTGGATGCCACTCCTCCTTCCAAGGTAGGTTTCTCATTAGCACAATCAAATGTTCTGGGATTCCCTTTCGTCTCAGAGTCAGCCATTGCGTGTTGTGATCCACACAGTCAAAAGCCTTATATCACAGAAAAGTCTGTCTAAGCTTGAGCCCAAAACTGTCTCTGATGAACTTTATGATTTTGGGGCTTTACTCCCAGGTCTCTGATTTACCTTAAGTTGATTTTAGTGTACAGTATGAGATGTGGATCCTGTTTCAACTTTCTGCAGATAGAAGTCCAGTTTTTACAGCACAATTTGTTGAAGAGGTTGTCATTTCCCCATTTGATAGCTTTGATTTCCTCGTCAAATATCAGTTGACTATAGATAGCTGGGTCTATTTCTGGGTTCTCAGTTCTGATTCATTGGTCTAGGTGCCTGTCATTGTACTAGTATCATGCTGTTTTGGTTACTACTACTGTGTAGTAAGTTTTGAGGTCAGGGAGTGCTATGTCTCCCACATAATTTTTAATAAATTTGACAATTCCCCTTTCAAACTAGAAAAATTATTTTGGTATCTGAATATGGATTGTGTTGAACATGTAGATTGCTTTTGATAGCATTGTCATTTTCACAATATTGAGTCTTCCTCAACAGGACACATTTCCTCCTTTCTTTAGGTGTTTTATTGTGTCTTGCAGAAATGCTCTTTATAGAGGGCTTTTGTATCTCTAGTTATGTTCATTCCCAAATATGTCAATTTGTGGTTGGCTATTGTAAATAGTATTGCTTTCTTGATTTCCTTCTCAAAGTTCTCTTTGTTACTGAAGAGACACCCTACTGATTTTGGATATTGATCTTTTATCCTGCTACTCTACTAAATTGGCTTATCAACTCTAAAAGTTTTTCTATTGAAACGTTGAGGTTTTCTGTGTATACCATCATATCATCTGCATATAGTGACAGTTTAACCATCTCCTTGCTGACCTGGATGCCTTTTATTTCATTATCTTGTCATATTGTTGGTGGGATTTTTAAAATGATCTGTTCAATTTCTTCTTTTTTAATAGATATGATGGATTTTTTTTCTACTCCTGTCTGAATTAGTTTAAAAACAAACATTGCAAGTTCTTCTCTAAAATAACTGTTGTTGTATTAAATATCAACAGAAAACATGATTAAGTTGCAAAGGGACTTACTTTCTTTTGTATTGTGAATTTCTGTGTGAAGATAGTTTTCAAATTCCTGGCGCTTAATGGGATCAGATATACATCTGCGGTACCTGCAAAAACTCTTGATAAAATTGAACATTTTCAGCCAGCCCCTGTTCTGGAGAAGGAGAAACAGGTGTGACATTGATCAGTTTGATTGCTGTTCATAAGCAACTATTATGTACCAGAAATTTTAAATTCATCATATATAGTCCTCACAATACCTCTATAAGGGATCAATTGATAGTTGAGACTTGGATCATAGATTTTTTTTTTACTATAACATGCCCCATGTGGAGGAGTATGGCTCAAGTAGCCATATTTGGGAACTACAATACAACTATCTTCTTCCAGAGGGGAAAATATGAGGGGTAATGATGGGCAGCATATAAGAGATACAAATAGAAAATAAAGGGATAAATTAAATTCATAGTGGTGTAGACTAGGAAATGTTGAAGAAATAAGGAAATGAGTAGAATAATTTTTAAGTATTTGAAAAAGAGATATGGAATTGCCTGTATAAACAGTAAGAGATAAAACTGTTTCTTGCCAAAAGAAATGTCTTGGTTGAAAGCACTGAATACGAAAAAGATGTGGTATTTCTTGACTATGCAAAGGCATTTGACTGTGTGGATCACAAAAATTATGGATAACATTAAGGAAAATGAGAATTCCATATTACTTAATTGTTCTCATACTAAACTTATATGTTGACCAAGAAGCAGTTGTCTGAACAAAAGAAGGAAACACTGCATGGTTTAAAATTAGGCAAGATGTGCATTAGCGTTGTATCCTTCCTTCAGTCTGTACACTGAGCAAATAATTAAATAAACTGGATTATATGAAGAAGAATATGGCATCGGGGTTGGAAAAAGACTCACCAATAATTTGTGTTATACAGATGATACAACTTTGCTTGCAGAAAGTGAAGCAGATTTGAAGCACTTACTGAAGGAGATCAAAGACTACAACTTTCAATATGGATTACATCTCAACATTAAGGAAACAAAATCTTCGCCAGTACCACTGGGTCAGTCATGATAGATGGGGGAAAGATTGAAGTTGTCAAGGGTTTAATTTTACTTGGATTCACAATAATCACCCATGGGAGCAGCAGTGAAGAAATCAAAAGACATACAAACTGCATCAAGCAAATTTGCTGTCAAGGAACTCTTGAACTAAAAAGAAGTGATGCCATTTAATATTTTCAACTGCTTCTTATACAGCTAAAAGTTTGACAATGAATAAGGAAGACCAAAGAAGAACTGATATCTTTGAGTGTGATATTGGCAAAGAGTACTGGTTACACCATGGACTTCCAAGAGATCAAATACATCTATCTTGGAGGAAGTGTAACCAGGGTGCTCCTTAGAGGCAAGAATGGTAAAATTTTTGTCTCATATTTCTAGTATATTATCAGGAGATGTCAGTTACTGGGAAAAGATATCATGCTGGGAGCAATGCAGAGTCAGTGAAATAATGGAAGACCCTCAAATCGATGAACTGATACAGTGACTGCAGTAATGGGCTCGAGCATAGTGAAGATTGTGAAGATGGTACAGGACAGGACACATTCATATCTGTTACTCACAGGGCTGCTATGAATGGCATTTAGTCAATGACACCTAACAATAATAACGTGCCTGTGGTTATAACTCCATTTGGGAATCATTTGTCTTTGTTATGTTTGCTCTGCACGATTAGGATAGTATGTCTCTTGCGTTGATCTTGTTTGGGATCTCAAAGAAATGAAAAAAGAAGTTCAACAGGTAGAAATAGAAAAGATAGATGCCACATCACATAGAGAACTCCAAGGAACCAGGAAATAGACTCTGAAGAAATTAAGACTTTCCCAGAGCTAAAAATAGTAAAGACTTACTTTAGAGATAAGGGCCTTTGTTTGGACTTCAGATTTCTTAATCTGTGCAAAAAAGAAATTTGCTTGTTAAAACTATATACTTTTGTCATTTCTGGTGCCCTAATGGTGAGGATCTATGCTGCCAACCAGATGACATGTGGTTCGAATTCAACAGTTATTCTGTGGGAGAAAGATGGGCAATCTCCTCCCATGTGTTTTATTGTCTCTACATCCTGCGAGAGGGTCAGCTTTGGGTTGGTTTTGACTGGATGGTACATAGCAACAACAGCAGTTGACAGCAGCAGACTCAATTCATTGATGTTGAGTTGAAGAGACTCATAGCTGACCCTCCAGTGGGTTTTCTGAGGCTGCAAATTAAACATGAGAAAATTGCACCTACTTCTCCCACAGTGTCACTGGTGGGTTTGAACCACCAAAGAGGTGCCATCTTTGGGTTAGCAGTACAATTCCTTATGGGCTATGCCACCAGAGCTTCTTTTCCTATTAAAGCAACACAAGAGAAAGAACACACTATATATATATGTATATATATACCTACAAAAAGCATTTTGCTTCTCTATCTCTACAGTTTATTTACTCCTCAACAAATTGATATCTATAGGTAGAAAGAAACTCAGGGGGCTTCTGGTTCACTTGTTTCATTCCACTGAGAAATAAAGAATTTAAGTGAGACTTTAGAAAGGCAGTAGTGAAGTATAAAAACCCCCCTTCAATTAGAATCAGAAACTTTAGGGCTTATCTTCTGCCTAATTGTGTAATTTGGGCCAATTAATTAATGTGTGTTTCAAGGTCTCTGTGTGTTAAAAAGAAACAATAGTCTTCAGCAGTGTGATGAGAGTTAGAGATAATATATGAAAACACTAATACGTAGCTTGGCATTTAGTACATGTTGGTTTCCTTTTGTCTTTTCTTATCCAAATCACAGAATGAACAGCATGTCTGAATTTTAAATGCAGTGTCCTAGTTTCAGGTATAATATTCTTTTTAATACTTTATGTGACCATTAGAAGCTGCACTCAAGCAGTGCAACATATAAGCCCCAAATACTAGTAAAAACTTAGGAGTCTCGAAGTGCTTAGAAGAAAGATCTGGCAATTGACTTCTGAAGGTTTATAGCCTTGGAAAAAACCTAAGGATCAGTTCAATTTCACCCTCCTGAAGTTGCCATGAGTTGAAACTAACTCAATGGTAACTTATAGCACATACTCATTCTTTGCACTTGACACAGAGTAGATATACATATGAAGTAAGCATGGAGTAAAGGGCACATATTGTCATATTTCTGTAGTGGTGGATTGGTGGCCTTAGGCATTCTTTTAAAAGATTTTTTAAAATTTTCTTAAATGGATATATTAACAAAAGTTTACAGAAAACTTGGATTTTCATTGATTCATTGTTGCACATTTTCCTCCAACAGGCCTGCTTTTAATTGTTTTTGGTCAAACATTCTTCTAGGTCATATAGCCCTGGTCTATCCATTTTCTATACAGAGGTAACTTGTGGTTGCTGTGAAGCTGACATTGATGTCAAATGTGAATGGTTACCCATGGTGGACAGTGTTTGGTGGAGCTCCCCGATTAAAACAAGCTTGGAAGCAGGAGTGGCATCCACTTCCGAAATAACTTGGCTCCAGAAACCCTATGAACCTGGAGAAAGGATGAAAGTTATACAAGTGTCCAGTTCTTTTGTTCATAGGGTTGCTATGAGTCACCTGCAACTCGACGACACTTAACAAAAACAACAACAACCCCCTTCAGAGATATTTTTGTATACACATTCTTCTGATTTTAACCATCTCTACAACACATTGAACAAATGATTGTTTAAAAAGGATTGTGAGCTTTTATTTGCTCAAATAATATTTTCCTAAGCAGCATTCCTATCTCCTAATTTTTCCCATGAAAGAGAAGGTTGTGAGTTAGATAATTGATAAGTTTGGGGAAAAAATGTGCATGCTCAGTTCTCAGTCTTTTGCATTTTCTCTTTGGTGTCTGCTTGTTTACTGAAGACTTGTACTCATGTGTTCTCTGTCATACACTAAGGGGCTCACCCTTGTAAAGTGAAGCCTAAATTATCCAGCTTTGTCAGTGACTGGCTGTGTAAACCTAATACAGGTGCATAGAAAGTTTTCAAGCCCATTTGACAAATACATTCTCTCCAAACTAACTTTTCTCAGTAATCAAGCTAACATTTTGATCTCTATGTGCCCAACTCCTGGTTCTAATCAGAAGTAGTAAGAGACTGACTCCTGCTAAGCCCCCAGTGTGAAAACTCCACTGAGCCTCAAATTCCTCCTTATAAAGGTAGTTATTTTGCTGATTAAATAAGCTAACAATGAAAAAAAATCTTTTCTATGGAGGATAAGGCACATTGTTCTTAGTTACTATTGAGTCAGTTGCAACTCATAATGATTCTATGAGCAACAGAATGAAATTTTGCTCTGTCTTGCATCATCTTCATAACCGCTGGTATGCTTGAGACCATTATTACAATCAATGTGTATATTGAGTGACTTTCAACTTTGAGGGCTTATATTTTAGCATTATATCAAACATTAGTTTGCTCTAATTTGTAGAGTTTTTATTGGCTAACTCTTCGGAAGGTTTGGGAGAAAGAGGAAGAACCTCAAAATGATTGACTGACACAATGGGTATGACAATGGACTTAAACATAGAAGACATGGTGAGGATGAAACAGGATGGACAGGGCCAGATTCAGATCTGTTGTTCATAGATTTGTTATAATAGTTGACTAGATGGCACCTAACAACAATTTTCAGTAGTTGATCATGAGACCTTTCTTTATAGCTTTTCTTAATATGAAGGTTCCACTGAAATTGTCCCTCATGGATGATTTGCTAGTATGTGAAGTATTGGTGGCATAGCTTCTAGGATGACAGTAAAGCATAAGCCACAAAAAGGCAACTAGCAAACAGGTGGAGAGGGTAATGTACAGACATTAGGGGTTCTTTTTGTTCTCAACATCTTGCTTTTCCTGTTTTTCTCACTGACCTGTGATTCCTGTACAGTCTTTGATGGTTTTCTAGGTGTAGCTCGTGCTTCAGCTTCACCCTCTGAAGGCTGCAATGGGAAGAGATCTTGGTAATCTTTAAACCTGCCAGCAAGAAACCAATAATATCACAGAGGATCAACATCTAGTATGAGTATATAAGACAAAGCAAAGTTGTGCTAGTATTTGTAGAAAAAGTAGAAGTGTGAAAATTGAACCCAGGTTGTGAAGTGATCAAGCATTTAGCTGCCAAGTGTAAGGTCAGTAGTTCGAGCTCAGTGAGAGGTAAGTGTGACAGTCTGCTCTATACAGATAGAAAACCAGACTTATTGTCATAGTTAATGCCAACTCACAGCAGGGCTTCTGAGATTGTCAATCTTTGTAGAAACTGGTTGCCTCATCTTTCCACCATAGAGGGGCGGATAGGTTTCCACTAGTTAACTGATCCCTGTTTCATCAGTGATCTCTGTAAAGATCACAATCTTGGAAACCCTATCAGGCAATTCTATTCTGACATATAGGATTATTATGAGTCAGAATCCTCTAAAGAGCAATGGGTTAGAAATGTGAAGAGAGGAATGGTAAGAAAGTAAAAAAATTATCTTCATACCCACTTAATCCTTTGCTAACATTAGTTTACATGCTGTGTTGTTCCTTGTTAAAGCCAATAAACAAAAATGTGTGTGTGTGTGTGTGTGTGTGTGTGTGTGTGTGTGTGTGTGTGTTTAGGTAGGAAGTTTCAAGATAAGCTTGCCTTTTTCTTTAATTGGAAGGTTCTGAGAATGGACTCTGATATTCCTTACTATTGTAGTTTTCAGAAGCCAATGAACATTTCACTTCAGAAAGGATGGTGGCTGTGACTGCACTTACTCACCACTTTTCTTCCAGGCACCTCATGACACAGCCTTGGACTGTTAACAATGATGATGTGCTCACTTGACGCATCTGACTGATTTCTTTGATAATAGGAGCTCTACATTGCAGTGCTTCTTCTAAAAAGTTGCAAGAGAGAGGAGAGGAGAATCATTCACTGGTATATCACTTTTGAGATAGCTAATGTTTTGATTTGTTTGTTTCGTTTGCTTTCATTGTAGAATTTCATTGTTTCAGAACTTGACCAGGTTCTCTACCCTAATGACAATATGAGAAGAAATCTTAAAAGAATTTTTGAAAATTTATGTGTTAGTATATCCGTAAAGCAAATATTCACATACTTAAAGGCCATGTGTCCCTTAAGCATGTTCACTGAGCATTTAATTGGAAAGACAGAATTAAAGGATTCATTTATGCAGCTGGATTGAAATGCTCTTGTCAGTAGGTGATAGGAAATAGAAAGTAGGTAGAGGAGTGTAGGGTTAAAATCAAGTAGCTGAGGCAAGTGTGGATCCAAGATCACAAATCAGTATTTTAAGAACCATACAATTCTCAAGTGTTAAGAGGCAGTTTATGAAATAATAAAACTTGAAAATTTATCAAGGACAGAATATAAGACTTCGTTTTGTCTATTCCATTAGAAATGATGTAAAAGACTCGAGATTCAACATCTTAAAGGTTTGCCCATTCTGACTTTGTTTCTATTTTTATGACATATATAGCTTTATCTTGGCTTATCATAACTAAAGGGGGAAAGGAATTTACAAACATACATGTACAGTGAATGAGCTCAAGCTATGCTACTTTTCTATATATTCATCTATGCCAAAACCAGGGGACTCTCTTCTTATTGCTGTAGATTTATTTACTTGCATAGTGGGACAATTACTTGCAAAATAAATTCAAATAGGTCAATTTTACTCTCCCACCTTCAGAAACTTTTTTAAAACCCAAAAAATTTATGAAATGAAAGTCTTCAAGCAAAAACGTCCTCCTTTCTTGTACAATTCTATGTATAACTCATTAGGTGGAACATATTCCAACTCTGCTTTTGTAGTGAATTCCAGCTTACTAGGGTTTGAATTAAAGGTCTATCAATTAGGCAAGTTATTTCACTATGTTTACCTTGGTCAATGGCAAAAGGAAGCTTTTTTACAAGATTATTTTCAGGATTAAAGAATATTTAATGAAAATAATTATACATATGAAAATGACTGAAATACTTTGTCACATATATTTTACCTCAATAAAATAATAAAAAAGCAAATAAAAGACAAGACATACATAAAATATTTTACACCTGACTTCTTTTACTGCTATTATTACTTTGGGTTTATTATTGTTCTCTGCTTTCACTGGTCTTTTAATAGTTGCTTTTCATTCTGCACACTCTCCTACTCTCCCCCCCACCCCCAATGTCTTATATACATACTGTTTGTCTCATGCTCTTTCTTTTTCTTTTTTTTTTTCATGCTCTTTCTTGAATGACTGTACTACAGCAATGAAATAAGAAGGAAATGGTGAAGAGGATGCATACCAGCAGAGACTTTGCCATGGAAGAAAGTCTTGAGAATATTATCAAGGAGACATTTTTGATGTTTTTCATTGGTCTCAACACTGATTTTCTGTATGGCTAACAGGAATAGCAATGGATTGTCAGCCTTCCGTTCTCTGAGGAACTCTTTGAAGTAGTCCAAGTGCTGTGAATTTAGGAGAACTTCTGCTAAATTTCTAGGAGACAAAACAAAACAACATCACTGGTAGAAGACTACAGGGTAAGATTATGGACTAAACACACAATTGTTCATACTTTTTTTAACCAACACAACAGAAAACAAAAGAGTGGATTTAGAGGATAATTTTGGAACTCTGAGTTGATGGAAATAAAAATAGGGGATCAGAGCTATCAGTTCATAAATGAGAATTAGAAGGCAATGGGAGGGAATAAGAAGTTTAAGACTTCTAAATGAATATTTAGAAGATAAGAGATTTCAAGATAAAATTAACTGTTTTAGATTTAGAAGGAAAAGTAATTTATAGGATAATGTCCAAGAAAATGGATAGGTATTTCCATCAAATGAAAGACATAATAATTTATAAAGATGTTAGGTGTCATTGAGTTGAGTACAACATATTTGAGCCCTGTCCTATCCTGTGCCATTTTCACACTTACTGACATACTACAGCCCATTATGGCAGTCACTGTGTCAATCCATCTCATTGAAGGTCTCCCTGTCCTTTGCTGATCCTCCACCCTTTCAAATATCATGTCCTTCTCCAAGGAATAGCCCATCCTAGTAACATGCCCTAAGTTTGTGAGGCAAAGCCTGATCATTCTTGCCTCCAAAGAGCACTCAGGCTGCACCCTCTCCAAGACCTATTAGTTTGCTCTTTTGTCCATCCATGGGATGGATGTTCAGTGCTCTTCTCCAACAGCACAGCTCAAAGATATCAATTCTTCTGTCATCCTTATTCATTGTACAGCTCTTAGATGCACAGCAAGTGATCGAAAAGACTATGGTCTAAATAGGACGCACCTTAGTACTCAAACTGACATCATTACTTCTGAATATTTTGGAAAGGTCCCTAATTGCAGATTTTCCCAGTGTAATGTGTCTTCTTAATTCCTGTCTGCTGTACCAAGGGTCCAGGCTTGGATGCACTCACCAACCTATGCCAGGGAATATGAAGAAAAATTACCTGGCTAAAGGATTGGAAGAGGTCCATATTTATTATAATCCCCAAGAAAGGTGATACAACAGAATGTAGAAATTATTGAACAATAATATTAATATTACATGCATGCAAAATACTGCTGAAGATCATTACAAACTGGCCAGAACAGTACATAGATAGGAAACAGCCAGAAGTTCAAGCAAGATTTAGAAGAGATCATGGCACCAAGGATATCATTGTTAATGTTAAATGGATCCTGGCTGTAAGTAAAGAATACTAGAAGAATGCCTATTTGTGCTTCATTGACTATGCAAAGGCATTTGACTGTGTGGATTATAACAAGCTGTAGCTGACATTGAGAAGAATGGGAGTCCCAGAGCACTCAGTTGTTCTCATGTAAAACCTATACCTGGAGAGGGAGGCTTTTCTGTGAACAAAGCAGGGGAACACTGCATGGTTTAAAATTAGGAAATGACCCTCCTAATGCCAGGCCCATGTCAGGGAGCTGCCTTCTCATGCCAGGCCCATGGTGAAGAGTGGCTTGCTGACACCAGGCCCATGCTGAGGAGCTGCCTGCTGACACCAGGCTCACACTGGGAAGCAGCTAGCTGATGCCAGGCATGTGTCAGGGAACAGTGTGCAAGGAAAGCTGGAATCTGAATGAGTGTGAGTCTGGAACTCCAGTCCCATTGTATCTGGTCCACACCCAGAACTCGTCTGGGTGCTGCCAGCCCCTGCCCAGAACGCTGCTCCCGATGTGCACCAGGAATGGCGCTAGAACTTAAGTGAGGTACTTTGTGGGGAATTGGCTGGATCACATGGGACCCCTTAAGCTCAATCAGAAGGAAGTGAAACAGCTGGAGTTCATTCTTGAAGGAAAAGCCAAAGCCTCCTGGCTTTCCAATCAAATCTCAGTGCTCTATCTTATGTCTCCTCACATCCAGTCCATCAACTGCCCTTAGGCCAGAGCACATTGGGCTACCCTATCTGCAGCAGTTGTCTGACAGAGGAGACTGCTTCCACAGCTTTTTTCTCTATCAAACTGCGAGAAATCCAGATAGGGTAGCTACCACATCTTCTTCTGGAGTGGTGACTATTATCTCAGACATGAAAATCTCTACCACAGCAATGTCATGTCAGAAGCAAGCTATCTCACCTTTGACACAAGCCCAAAGCAATATGTCATGCCCCAAAAGTGACATCTTATCAATGGATTTCCTGAAGTCAGAAAGTCTGATGAAACATTCTGACACAGAATTAAAAAAAAAAACAAAACAAAACATAAAACAGAACAACCCAAAATAATGACTGAATATTATCAACGGGTGAAAGATAAACTTGAAGAATTACAGGACACTGTAAGCAAAACCCAGGAGAAGCTTTAAAAAAATCCAAAACAATACAGATAAAATACACGAGGCATTACTGGCTCTGGAAAAACAACAAACCACAATCTAAAATATGAGGACCAATGTTTCAGATGCTGTCAACATAATGGAGGGTCACATGAACAGGGTTGAAGAGATGGAATACAGAACCAGTGAGACAGAAGATATAATTGTCACCAATGATCTGCTAGAGCAAAAAGCAGAATAAAAAAGGAAGGATAAAGAAGAAAGAAAGCTCAAGAATAATGTGGGACACCATCAAGAGAAACAATATGTGCATCATTGGAATCCCAGAACAGGAAGAACTAACTAAAGGCACCAAAAAAGTTGTGGAAGAATTACTAGAGGAAAACTTTCCAGGCATAATGAAGAATGATAGAATATATACTAAAGAAGCTGAGAAAATACCATATAAAATAGAACAAAAAAGAAAAAAACACCAAGGAATATCATAATCAAATTTGCCAGAACCAAAGATAAGGAGAGACTTCTGAAAGCAGCAAGGGAGAAACAAAGAGTAACTTGTCAGGGAGAGCAAATAAGGTTAAGTACCAATTTCTCAGCAGAAACCATGCAAGCAAGAAGACAATAAAATGACATATATTGAACACTCAAAGAACACACTCTCAACCAACCACACTGTACCCAGAAAAATTGTCTATCAAATATGAAAGAGAGCTCAAGATATTCCCAGAAAAACAAAACCGTTGTAAAAACAAGACAATCATTGAAGGAAACATTAAGACATGTCCTTCTTACAGAAGAGTCACAGAAAACCGGATGGACCAAAGTAACTAGCACCAACACACACACACACGAACTCAACAAAATGGTAGCAATAAAACCTTGCCTCTCAATAATCACACTGAATATGAATGGTTTGAATGCACTACTGAAGAGAAAAAGAGTAGCAGATTGGATAAAAACACAAATTCCATCAATATGGTGTCTACAAAAGACGCATAGGAAAAATGAAGATAAAGAATGACTAAAAATAAAAAGGATGGGGGGGAAATATACCAAGCAAATGGGAAACAGAAAAAAGCAGGGGCAGTGATAGTAATCTCTGATAAAATAAATTTCAATGTAAAAACCATCACAAAGGACCCGGAAGGTCACTATATAATGCTTAAAGGGTCAGTAGAACAAAAGATATAACAATATCTAGGCACCAAATGAAAGACCTGCAATATATATAAAACAAACATTAACAAAACTGAAAAAGGAAATAAGACAATACTACTATAGTAGTTGGAGACATCAATATACCACTCACAAGAAAAGATAGAATTACCAGAAAGAAACTCAACAGAGATGCTGAAGAATTAAATCACACAATAAACCCACTCGACCTCATAGATATGTAAAGGCTGGTGCACCCCTAAAAAGCACAGTACACCTTCTTCTCCAATAAGCATGTAACGTTCTCCAGAATAGATCACATTTTAGATCATAAGCACTCACCCATAAATTTAAAAACATAGAAATAATACAAAACATCTTCTCAGACCACAATGCTACAAAAGTAGAAATTAATAACAAGAGGATAAAGGAGAAAACACCATACATTTGGAAGCTGAACAGCACCATGCTTGAACATGACTGGGTACTAGAAAAAAATGAAAAATGATATTAAAAAGTTTCTTGAAACAAATGACAAAGAAAACACCACTTAACAAAATTTCTGGGAAATAGCTGAAGAACTAATCAGAGGTCAATTTACAGCAATAAACACACACATCAAAAGGCAGGAAAAAATGACCACTGACTCCCTAAACCAATATTTTCAACAAATTGAAAAAGAATAGCAAGAAAACCTGACACCCTATAAAAAACCTAAAATTATAAAAATTAGAGCAGAAATAAATGAAATAGAAAACAAAACAATTAAAACCATCAACAAAACTAGGAGCTGGTTCTTTGAAAAGGTCAATAAAATTGAGAAGTCTCTAGCAAAACTAACACAGGAAAAGACACAAATAATCTGAATGAAAGATGAAATGGGCAATGTCACAACAGAACCAACTAAAATAAAAATACTAACTTTGGAATATTATGAAAAATTATACTCAAACAAATATGAAAACCTAGAGGAAATGGACAAACACTTAGAAATTTGCAACCTACCTAATCAGACACAAACTGAGTGAATACCTGAATAGATTCATTACAAAAGAGGAAATTGAAAAGATACTAAAACAACTTCCAGCCAAAAAAAGCCCTGGACCAGTTGGTTTTACAAGTGAGTTTTATTAAACATTCAGAGAAGAACTTACCAATTCTACATAAACTATTTCAGAAAATAAAAAAAGATGGAATTCTCCTAGACTCATTCTATGAAGCAAACATATCCTTGATCCCAAAGCTAGGTAAAGACACCACCAAAATAGAAAACTATAGGCCAATATGTCTCATGAACATAAATGAAAAAATCCTGAATAAAATATTGGCCAATAGAATCCAATAATACAACAAAAAAATAATTCACCATGACCAAGTAGGATTAATAACAGGTATGCAAGGATGCTTCAACATAAGAACAACAATAAATGTAATTTATCATATTAATAAAGCAAAGAACAAAAACCACATGATACTATTAATTGATGCATAAAAGATCTTTGACAAAATCCAACACCATTTACTGATTAAAACACTCAACAAAAT